TGAAAATCGAAAATCTTACGGGACCTGTTGATTGTTAGAAGATGAACTATTGATGTTCCAATTACAAATTGGTAATTGTTTCGAGCACACGTTGATACGGTGTGAAATTCTGATAATAATAAAGGTACTACTATCACTGTGGAGACTAAGCCGATAACGCTGGACGAACTGCTGAATATCCGTCGAACTCGGACGTTAACCCACCGTCGGCCTGGCTAGAGGTGTTCAGTGTTCACTGTTCGACTTCCGTCCGTGGGCCAACGCTGAACGCTCCCGCAACGATGGGAGTGTCAAACCCCCCTCCCCGGCGCCACAACACCACGCTAATTAATAAACGGACACAACACCCAACGAGTGGCATAGCCATTAGCCATAAAATATAATATAAAACATAATATGGCTTGCACGTGACCTGTTTTTTTGTTCCAAAACATGCTTTACAGGAACTAATCTTAACCTACGCCTCGTAGAGTGATCAGATTCCGATTATTTGTTTTGGAAAAGAGAAAAACTACATTGATTTTAAAAACTGAATTCCTGAACTACTTATATAATATAATTTTAAATATGATCAATTTTTACAAGTTTTTATTTCTTTTAAATATTTTTGTTTTTAGTAACTTAATCATGAATCGATCAAGTACCTATATTGCAGTAATTCGGCCTGTTAACAATTATCCACTTAGATCTTTCAAGAAAAAAAAATTAGTGAAATCAGACCACTCTACAAGGATTGAGAGATTTTCCTACAAAACGCATTTTAAACAAAATATCACTCTTTTAATTTTTAATCGGCGGTACCATTGACAATTGTGCAGCTGTAACGCATGCGTAGATAAAAGATAATCCGGTAATCGGTACCCACCTTAAATCATATTATACATTTATACTGATGTATTTGTACGGTATGATCTGAGATCTCAGACACCAACTGGCGACTGGCCACTACCCAAATATAACATTATCATTTACGGCTAACGCAAAGCAGTTACAGAGGGGATATGGTGGTCATACCATACACATTACAACATGAAATGATATGAAAATAATATGTGTATACCATAATATATATCTATGGTGTATACTGAATGTCTATTAAAAATTGGATATCCCCCCCTTGAAAAAATCCTAGATACGCTACTGACGCAAAAGCCACGGCGTACGGGCGGCGGCGACGAGGTTGTGTATACTTGTGTATTGTCTAATTATTGCCCCTTATAGACATCCACATTCCACAATAACAAGCCTAATGACGTATTGTAATCGTCAAACAAACGTACAACATAGGTAGCAGATTTGAGTTTAGTAGAAACGATTTGCATTATATGCATCTATTTGCTCAAAAATTTCAAATAAGTATATAAAAATATGCAAAATAAGTTTGCATATTTCAATATTAAATTTGTAATCTAGACTTATGATTTATGAATCGAATTTATATCATACTCAGGTATAATACTTCGTGGAAAAAATATACAGTCATAAATATTATAGCTCTAGACTAAGAACATTATGGGTGTTCTCTATAGTTAGGTTTTTATAATATTTTCATTTTTAAGCTATAGCTTATATAGTTGTTGGGATAGTTGTTAACTATTTACTATATTCTTAACCATTTAAATTTAAATTAACTGCACCGGTCGGTCAAATTAACTGAAATGGAACGTTAAACTAAACATAAAATCTTAAGTATTTAAAGGTATTGAAATAAATCATTGGAATTGTAATTTTGAAAATCGACGTAATTTTTAGTTTAATGATTTTGGAGGGTTAAATTTAATACAAGTTTAGGCAATTGTCTGTATTATTTTAAAAGTTAAAAAATATATCAACGAAAGTTGTTATAACTAGTTATGTAGTTGATTTGGCTGTTATAATTTGAAGTTATTTTTCCTACATGTAGGTAAAGTAATAAGTAATAACAATATTAATAACCAAAATAGTGAACTCGTTATAGTGTTAGGTACTTTTACTAAAAGTTATTACTCATTACGTATTTAATTATAAGGTACCTATAAATATGGATTTTAAAATTGAAAACATTTTTACTAGAAAACAAAATAAACCTTGTATTTCGATTGAAAACAATAATTTTAGTGAATCTCTAAACACTTGAAAAACACAACTTTCGTTTACCCGTGAAATTCCCGGACAGTCCAAAATCGGTCGAATTGAGAAAAATGATAAACTACTGCACAAACGCATTACATGATATTAAAAAAAGTCACCAAAATACATTAGAATGTTTTAAAATTACTCACCAAAAAGCATTATGCTAAATTGTCCAAACACATTGCAATTCTTACAAACTAGGTATAACCAAAACCACCCATATCATTGACACACCTAAACAAGAAACGATAGAGAATAATTTTGTTGAGGGTACATATCGATTTGCCAGAATATTGTCTCAAAAATAATTTAAAGAACATTTGATTGTTTTATTTTTATTTTAAGTCTAATATTAAGTCAAATAATAATAAAATATAAAACTATATGTCATAGCCTCAAATGTATTATCCTCTATAATTTTTGTAATAGGTGATTTTACTCTAAGATAATTCAAAAATCATAAAAAACGATTTTAGGTGAAAGCATTTTATCTATACTACGAGCGGGTTTGAAAGAAAACAAATATTACGCTGACATCTTAACTACATCTTAACTATTCATCAATGGTTCCAAGCTCTAACAGTCTAACATAGTATTGCCAAATAAAATTTATGACAATTTATCAAACGTTCATTAGTTATGGTTTAATTTTGTTAGTTTTAATTTTTAATATCACAATGATTGATCCATTATAACATTTATAAAATATAACTATAATATTATCAGCCTCTATAGGTTTTATTTTTGATATTTGAATAATTTTGAGTGAATACACATATAAAGGTTATCAGAAGGCTGTAAAAGATATTTATGATATTTTAATTGTGACTTCATGAGGGAACACAAATAATGATGTTGCCTTTAAAATGCATGATAGGTAAATTCACTGAAATTTGTAATAATAAACAAAACTAAACATGAACTGCTAGAAATAAATTTGTTATTCGACCCACATGTAAGTCAAAGACAACAAAGCAGTATGGTATTCTCTTCAGTGGCATAGACAGGGGGCAGTTCGTCTATAACATAAATAAAATATTGGTTAACAAATTAAACAAAGTACCTCTATAATTTATTATTTTAAAAATAACAGTTAAATATTTAACTTGTGTTTCCTTTATAAGTTTAAATTAAAATTATTCAACAGTTAAATAGAGAAAAATTAAAATTATTTGTCATTACAGTATGATTACATAGAAAATTAATATATGTATAAATATGTATATATAATATAATTAATATATATAATTAGGGTTCTGAAATTTATTTTTTTGAAATATTTTCCTAAACGTTTATGAAATATTTCATACTAAAGAAAAATAAAAAACAAATTTTAATTTAAAACTATAGTAGAAAGTGAGTATAGTACTTAGTTAAGTGTAGTTGAGTTAAATGAAAAATATTATAGAAATATTTCTTACATAGTAAGTTACACAAATTACATAATAATTATCTATCTTATATATTATATACATAATAATAATATATATCTGTTTTATATTGTGATCAAGAATTAAATATTGATAGTTACTTATCAGGTATGAAATCAGTATGACCATCTAGTGATGATATTATGAAACATTCCAAAAAACAGTTATAAAAATATATTTATATATATATATAAAATAAAATAATATATATTTTTAATCTAATTAAGTCATTAATTTTGATCATAAATCAACAATTAAAGACATATTTTAGATTCTGAGCAGAGATATTCTGAACTTATTAGTTTTACAATGATGATTTTTTATCACCTTTTGAAGCAGTGAGAATTCTTGAATATTCTGATGATGATTTCTGGTAGGAAATTGTATCCACTTAATACTTTGAGGGATGAAAAATAAAAATTCCAAGTATTACACAGAAAATTGTAGGATTGTAGGAAGAATGAGTATTAACCAAGTTGTGAAACAAGAAAACAATGTTTTGTATTGAAATGGGTTTTATAAAATAAATACTGAAATTATTTTATTTAAAAAAATAGTAGAACAAGTCATATAATAACAGGGTTCAGTATTTAAACAAAAAACTAAAATATGTAGTACCAAAACACAATTAAATTAATTATGTTAACACTAATTATCTTTATGTATAGTATTATGTTATACTAGTAGAGCAGTGATAAAAAATCTTTAATTGTATCATAGGTTATTGTGTTTTATTCTTTTTATATTGTTGAATGTATTAGATAATATTCTTACTTTTAAAATGTATAATGAATTGTCATTCTAAAATTAAAAATAACAGAGTAAAATTAATTATTCTAAATTTAAAATGTAGTATGTTATGTGTTAATAAGACGGAAACAACAAATGCAGATAAGACATACTTTTTAAACATTTTATTAGTAAATTTGGGATGCTGCCATAAGTTAAATTACACTTTTAGAATAGATTTCATGAAAATAAAGTCAGTCTTAAGATTACCAAGCTAACTAGGTAAACAAAAATATATAAATTAGTTACCTAATTATTTATTAATTTTTGTCTTGTTTATTCAATAACAGTGAAATTAAATTAGTATTTAAACAGCATTTGTATATAAATTAAATGTATAATACATTTTTTAATTGCATTATGAAAACAAAATTACAGTTTGATTTTATTTTATATTGAGCACGATTTAGCTGTTTTTAAAGTATCAAATTCCCAATTCAAGTAATAAATAATTATTCAAAATTATTAAGTCATCAAATAATAAGGCAACTTATATAATATGGTATCATGTGTTTTTGTTTGGAATGTTCTTACATTTTGTGATTTATATACTTTTTTTGTAAATTTTGATGTTATAAAAATAAGTACTTTCACAATTATACATTTTAAATACTTTCACAATTAAAATAAACTTACAGAATTAAAAATAAATATTTTTTGATTCAAATTTCAAAGTTCATTAGATGTAATTTGTTTCATAATTGTAGCATAAAATACTTCGATTTTTTTTACATTTTGAATATCTGAAGTTTTAAACTGCAAGCACTAAAACAAAAATTTATAATATTAAATTAATTATTATATTAAGTAAATAAAGTATATTTTATAATATATAGTATATGATATATATCTATCTAACATGATGAATATAATATTTATTCTATAGAATTAAAAAATACTAAGTAATTTTGTTCAAGAATAAATACCAAAGAAAACATTTAAAATTAGGGTTGTTAAATTTGATTTCCAAGTATCTATAGTAAATATAAAACATCATAATGTATATTTTAATAATGTTAGGTATATTATATAGTTTTATTATTTACCGAAATATCATCTGTAACTTTTAATTGCACAGTTGATTGACTATGACAATATTTCATAGTGCATCTGACCTAAAAAAAAATATTACAAAAATTAAATAATAAAAAAAGTAAAAAAATTAGTACATTTGTCATTTATAGTAAGTTGTAGAAAAAAAAACTAATTTCTAAGAGAAATAGTCAAGATTAGCCATGATAATATAAAATGGTTTTAGATCCATAAATATCTATATTATTATTTTATTCAACATACTTTACAGTTGAAAGTGTAGAAATCTTAAATGCTGAATCATTAATATTTACACATAACTACATAAGCATTGTAAGAGTAGTACAGTAAATAATAAATTTTGATATCGTACTTGATTAAATGAGTATGTTTTTGGTTTAAAAAAACCCGGAAATCTAATTTGAAAAAGTTGTTGTGCAAAACATCAGTAATTCTCTTCCCTGGTTAATTATAATAGAAATTAAGAAAATAGCTAAAGGAATATTAAATTATAAAGTTCAATATTTTTTTTTTTTCAAAACTAAAATGTATAGTAATTTATTGACTAACCACAGTATAAATCTAGTTACGAGATAATTGTATGTGATTTTATTTTAGTGTTAAGTTAAAAACATTGCATGTGAAAACATTTACAAGATGTTAACAAACAATTTTTACAAATTAATTTATGTATATTACACCAGATACCAACAACATAAAAGTCGAAAAAACAACTATCTAGCAAATAAATACTGATCATAATACTTAATTGCGAGGAAAAAATTTTAACGATTAATGAATAGGTATTATGAAAGAAAGTTATTATTACATTCAGCAAATTTAAGCTTAGAAGAGCTTGTGAACAAACAAGACGGAAAGGTTATGAACTGTTTCAATTTTATCACAGCCAATATATATTTCCAAAGCAGGACGATAATGTCACGCTTACAATGCAAGGCGAGTGATGGACACGATAAACATTATGCTCCTAATGAGATAATAAAACGTTAATCACCCTGGTCGGATCTTTGAGGAGCAGATTGTACGAGGCGGTCTCGAATTCTTTCCATGTCTTTAGATACATGTTGAAGTTCAGATAGTCTCTTCACTATAGCAGGTCGCCGGAGGAGAAAAACGGAACAATTGGAAAGTCAACCGACGAGAATCCACATCGGCGTCTTGTGTCTTTTTTTTTGGAATGTGTCCACGATGGTGAACGCAAGAAAACGGAAAACAATTTAACAATCCGAATTAAGGACAAACCGCTGCGAATTGCGATGACGCTTGTCGATGTTGTCTGTGATCGTGCGGACGGACGGTGACGTCGGTATTTAATGATAATTTGATAACGCCGGTGATACGCTGATAACATTGATGATAAGCTGATAGCGTCGGAGATTATCTGATACATGATAAAAGAACATGATCTGATAGAAGCATTGAGAGACGAGAAGCCTCAGGTAGTTACGTGTTAGATGATAGGTAATTGATAGTTTAATATTGTGTAGGTGCATAGTACAAACCTTCGACCATATAAACTAAGTGTACTATGGCTTAAATGTACCATTTTTTTTTAAAAAACATTTATCATGAAACTTACCAAATTTCAGTTTTAATAATTCTTATTCAATACGTTTTAGGTTATTAAAAATAACTTTTCACTAATAATTAGTGTTTAAAAAAAATAGGTAACTAAATATGAAGCAAAATGATTAAAATAATAAAGTCAATAATAAATAAAAATAATTGATTTAATTAGTAGAAATACCTATGACTTTTGAATAAATATTAGATTTAATTCATTGTTAAACACTCGTCACTACTAAAAAAAAGTACCCGGTATAATTCTTGTTGTCTCATCACTCAAAAGAAACCAACATTTCAATTTTCAACCACAGGTTTTTAAAAAGTTTAACATAGCTAGTTGATTGAAGGCCGTAGCCGGAACGAATTTTCGGGAATGGTTTAAGACCAAATCATAATTTTTCATAATATAAAAACAATTAACTTAAAAAAATAAATATATCTATACAATATTATAGTCATACATCTAAATAAGGATTTTTATGTATTACACGTGTGATAAGTTTATACTATTTAAAATAAAAATTTTTATATTATAAAGTCTAGCAGTTTTTTAACACTTTTCTTAAGTTTGGTTACACGTCTGTCTGTGATCAAATCTTGCGCGCTCGATTTGAATTTTGAGGCACTTTTTGAAGATGAAAAATTCTGAAAATTTGTATAGACCTTGGTCTTGGATGACAATACAATAATCCGTAAAAAAATTTTTTTTAACTAAAAAGTAGAAAATAAAAATTAAAAAATTATTTTTAAAAAACACCCTTTTCTAAAAAAACAAAAAAATAATGAAAAATTTAAAAGTGTGTAGCGCTCTTAAACTTGACATATTATACCACACACTTTTAAATTTTTCATTATTTTTTTTTCAGCAGTTTTTTTCTTTTCGAAACGATCGATCACTTGACTTGATAAGTTTCGTAGATAGTGTTTTAATATTTCCATGTTAGAAAATATTATTGCTGATGTTGAAGTCAAAACTATTGTAATTTCAAAAGATAAAATATATTTGGAAAAAACCCAGAATTACATATTTTAGTAAGCTTCAAAGGCCGAATTCCTGTAAAAAATTAATTCCAACAAAATTCATATTCGCATGGTTATATATTTATATAATTATACTACTTATGTATAAGGTAAAGGTTAGTGTATAGCATTACCAAACATACTATCTATACAGTTATCATATTAGTAGGGAAACATGGATAATTATTATAATTTTATTAAATTTTAGTTTTATAAATTAAATTCATCTTAGATCATATACGATATATGATCTAAGAAATTCATTAACCCCAACATCCCACTCAAATATGGCCATAGGTTGATTTGTTTTTTATTGTAACTCTAAAAAAAACGGTAGATAAGTGGGTACATGACATTTCACCGAATGTTTATACTGTATATTGGCATTTTGGAATTTATTATACACCATATAATTTTCAAAATATTTCGACTCTTTTTAAGCTAGGTATTTAATTTTTTTAGGCCTAGAACATTTTCAAAATTTATTTTTTTAATTATTGGCGATAGAAAATTTATCGTTCTTCAAAAAAACTTGAAAATGTAATAGAAAGTTCCCCGTAAGTTATTCTACATATAACAAAAAAAAAAATTTACCGGAAAGACACATTTTTTATGAGCGTTTACGACATTGGATATTCATCTGTAACATAAGTATTTCTCGTCAAACAATTTTTGATGTTTTTTTTGTAATTTAATAAAAAATAACAGTACCTAGATACTTCTAATAAAATGTTTATTTTATAGTTTTCTAGACAGTACCTATAACATTTTCAAAATACATGTGTACACGATAATACATAATGTAGTCTAAATAATACTTCGATCTTAAACTTTACCAAATTTTTCGTTGGGAAAGTTAATGTCGTTGGGGGAGTTCAAAATTCCTAATAACTTTCAAAAGAGCCGGAAAAAATAAAAAAAAAACTAAGGAAAAACGAGAATTTATACTCAAAATTGGTTTTCGACGGTAGATACATGACATTTGCACATAATGTTTAGGTATATTATAATTTTCCATAGGTACCTACACGTTACACTACCTATGCAATTTTCAAAATATTTTGACTCGTGTTGATTTATGGACATAATACCAATACAATTTTCCATTATTATTAGTTAATATTAGTTATTATTATTATTTTCAATTGAAAATGTCCGTAAACAGCTCAAAAAGAGTCAATATATTTTCAAAATTGTATGGTGTATAGGAAATGCTAATATAAACATTCAGCATTTCAGTGAAATTTTCATGTATCTACAGTTAACTATTCGTTTTTGAATTACAACAAAATACGGAAATCGCCACATGAGAAATCGAGTGAATATCCAATGTTGTAAAAATTTGAATTTCAAACGCTCTTCAAAAATTAATTTGACTTTCTTATAGACATTTTTTTTTTTGATAAAGGTAAATAATCTTATGAGGAATCTTGTATTACATTTTTAAAACCTTAGATTTAAAGAGAAAAATTTTACGAATTCTTAACTCAAATAAATTTGCTAATTTTCGTAATTTTTCCATATTTTGTCAATTTTCGAATTTTAAATTCTTATAAAACAAAACTGTAACTAAGGATTTTTAATATTTTTCATCTACCTTTGAAACAATATACTAGGGCCTTCTTTTAAATTTTCAAACATTTTTTACTAACAAATAAAATTTTATTGATATTTTTAGAAAAAAAATTTAAAAAAAACGGAAAATGAAAATGTTCCTCAAAAGTTCAAAACAAATCATAATATTTTGAAAATTTCATCGTGTTTAGAAATGCAAATATAAACAACCATTGAAAATTTCATGTATACCTACTTTCATTTGTTTTAGAGTTACACCAAGAACCAAAATCGATTTTGTGGAAACCTTTTTTGCGTAAATTCCCGTTTTACCTTAATTTTTATTTTGTTTTTCCCGGCCCTTATGAAACCTTTTGGGAATTTTAAAATTTGACCTCCCGAATGCACCAACTAGATTCACTTTCCCATCGAACAAGATACTGTTGAAGAAAATCGAAGCAGTTTTACTGCCCCAAACCGCGATGACAGATGAAAAAATAAAAATAAATAAAAAAAAAAATTATAAAAAAAAACACACATCATTGTAAAATCAATACATTCATCGTTTCACTCAGAATCCAAAATAAGTTAAGCGTAAATCCACAATAATTTTTATTAGCGTCTGAGGTAGATTTTTGACAAAATTCGTAAAAACATTTGAAAATTGTTTTAAATTGGATTCATAAAAATGTTTCTTTTTATATCTAAGATTAGAAAAGTTAATACGAGGCTCCTCGTGAGGTTGTCTACCTTTATAAAAAAAAAATAATGTCTTATGGAAAGTCAAATTAAATTGTTATGAGCGTTTGAAGTTTAATGTTATACCTACACATTGGATATTCACTCGATTTCTCTTGGATCGATTTTCTTATTTTATTGTAATTCAAAAACAAATAACTTTAGATACTTGAAATTTAAATCATGTTTATTTTTCAATTGCTATTGTAAAAATATATCAGGAGCCTTGTATTAAATTTTCACGCTTTTTGAAAAAGCAAATATAATTTTATTGAGATTTATAGAAAAAAAACTGAAAAAATTGGAAACTGAGAATGTTTGCAAACAGCTCAAAACGACTCAAAATATTTTGAAAATTCGCACAAACCGATAAGCAGGGCTATATAGGATTTATATACAACAGCATGTTTTTTTTTGCGACTTCTGATTATTGATTTTGTCAGTAATGTCCACGAATCACCTCATGATGAAATAAATGGTGGTATTATTTATTATTGCATATTTCGATTATAAGAATGCGAAAAATGCATGTTTTATAGTATATTTCATAAAATTTGATTATTTGGGCATTTGGCAAACATAAATTTTATTTTTATAAATACAATCCTATGGTACAATAGGTATGCAATAAAAGATTGAATAAGTTGACATTCATTTTCGAAAATTTAAAAAAAATATGTGGTCGTAACTCGTAGCATGTAGCACACGTAGTGAATGTGAATTATAAATTATTATTTTTTTTCCTCAATTATATTATATTAAGACAAATAGCCAATCACTGATGTATTTCAACAATTAACTATTTTAACTATTTTTTTTATAACTATATTTTTGCGTTTATCTTATAAAAATTTAAATGCATATTTTTGCATATTTTTGGTAAATAAAATGCATATTTTACCATTTTTTATTGCATACAAATCCTAGCCCTGCCGATAAGTATTAATAACGTACATATTTATGTAAAATCGTATAATCGTTAAAAACCGCATACCAGTATTGAAGGGATGGCAAACTGCAGTTATTTTAGCCGGTACATACCAATCTTTCTTTCATCATACTCAAGGCCGGTTCAATCAAAAAAGTGCACTAAGCGAAATCAAATTTTTCCGCCCCTAAAATAATAATATTATCACTGTTTTGAAAATGTCACCCCCACTAAACGGTTAGGTTTCGCCTACCCCT